TGGAATCTGACTATTATAAGATGTCAACCCGTCTTTGCCTGTGTTATGTTTCTGATAACTAGCATGCCCTTAACTCTCATGAATTGTCTTGTTCAATATGTCAATATGGATTACACACTTTAGCATGTTCTTATTTGATACATGATGCTTATCTACTTGTTTTCTCAACTAGCATACTTGCCCTGTTTTATGTGTTCCTGACTTCTATGTTCCCAACCCCTGCTACCTTTCTTTGCGTAGTTGTCTGTTTATTATTCTGTTCCCAGCATACTATCTGACCACCTAGTGATGATTAATGAACTAAGTCAAATCTAGGCAATGTGAAACTTTGCTTGAAGTGGTTGTGATCCTGTTTCTGTCTACTGTTTGATTGCTAGAATCTTTGTTTGAATTTTAAGTGTTGAAATGACTCTGTTTGTTCTTATTTACTCCTAAAATCCAAACCTTTTTCTTAAACTATCTCCTATTTTCATGTACTATTTTCAACTCCTACTCTTAGAATATCTAGGGTCCTGCCCCTCCAGTGTGAGCATTGCCTAGGAGTCCATGAGACTCATCCGAACTCTGACACACTGGGACTAGCTTTTCCAAACTTGTTCACAAAACTGTTTCTTTAAAAGGGTTTCTGGTGTGAGCATTGCCCGGGGTCCCTGAGGCCCTTGGGAACTTTGACGCACCAGGAGGCCATTTGGTGTACTATGAGATACTGGCATATTTCAGACTTGGTTGAAGGCCTGGTTTCCAGGTTTACTTTTGGGCCTATCCAGGCTCCCTATAGTATAGCAATTTTATTCTGTAATTAATTTATATCTGGTCTGTAATAATAATTCCTGTAAAAACAGATATTGGGGTTATTAGTAAAATCGGAAAGGGATTTTTATATATAAATTTGTGGGGGATCGGGTAGAAACCATGTCTATAGGACTATTGTGATGATATTTATTTGCATTAGAAACCATGTTCTTAGGGTTTATCTCATTATGTTAAATTATCATCCTAGAAATCCTATTTCTAGGCCGTTTACCCATTCTGCAATAATCATGTTTTCAAAACCTCTATGTGTGCGTTAGAAATCATGTTTTTGAAATATTTTGTTGCACTCACTTGGCAATTAATTGACACTTTTATTCGCCTAGATATCATGCCTATAGGAAAATATATATAAAATCAGTTTCATCGCTTAACCGTTGCCTATAAGGAGTTAGTATAAAAACAGTTCCAACACTTAGATATCATGCTCATAGAGATAAACATGTAAAATCAGTTATGTAATGCTTGTGATCATTTTCAGCACGTAGACAACATGCCTATAGGGTCTAAACGGATAAAATCTGCCTGTTTAAACTAGTCACTGGTTTATAATACGTTTAGATATCATATCTATAGGATCCTGCCGGTTATCGGCTAGGCAAGCCTGTAGGATAATTAACCCCCTGAAGTTGCCAAAATTATGTTTGTTTGACTGCTTATAAATTGCCCAGGTTCAGGAAGTAGTAAAATCAGTAGGCCAACTGATTAGGTATTTACTGCCTCGCCTTAATGAAACGGCTGAATATTTTTTTATCATCTAGATATCCTGCTATAGGATTTTAAATTGTTTAAAACAGTTTGTTTGAGGCGTGCAATTGTTTGCTTACTTGCGGAGGTAAATTAAATGCGAGCCCCTATAACTGCTCCTTATGTGATAGTCCTACCTGTTTTGTTTGACGCCTAGTTTTCTCCTTTTAAGCACCATAGGTAAGCCTAGAACCACCTTAACTAGAGGTCCTAAGCACCTCCAGGGCCCTAGGCAAGGGACGGGTAATGCACGCATATGGTACGTATTCAATGCTATTAGAACGTGTAGTTAATAATTAAGGGGAGGGTAATTGGGTAGTAAAGGATATGATGAATTGTGCGCTAATGCTATGTGTAGCACCCCGATTTGGGGACGATTACCAAGTATTGCACAGAAGTGATCCTATAGGCTAAAAAAACTAGGACCCCTTTACTCCCTATTTTTTAAAGTAATGTCTGTTTGTTTATCTGCTTATAAGACTAATTCGCTTAAATTGAGTTTGGCCGGGACCCACCGTTGTGGATTTCGAGGGGTGCCTAACACCTTCCCTTCAAGGTAATTTCGATCCCTTACCCAAATCTCTGGTTATGTAAACTAGTTTACGAGTTATTTGTTCTAGGTTCCCTAACGCACCTTAATACGTTAGGTGATGACTCTTCAAATCTCATACCCAATTCCCAAAAGGAAAGGAGTTGTCCCAAAGTGTCGAAACCCGGACTCCGCGAGGAAAAAGGGGGCGCGACATACGGTCACATAAAGGCTACGGCCAAAATAATGCGATTCAGAGACGTCCGATTTCCGCTATAAATTAAAGGACTTCAAACACTTTGTAAAAACCGGTTAAATCAGGCTACCCTCGGCAAAAGCAAAATATAAAGGGCTTTGATAAATTCAACCCTCGAAAAATCCAAGGGCTTCGATAACATCGGCCTTCGAAATACCTCAAGAGGTATTCGATTATGTTTATACAAACAAATTACTGATAAGGTTCCGATATGTCAAACCTTCGAAAAAAACCTACGGGTGCTAAAAACACATGCTAATGCATAATTAAATTTTCACTAAGTCTTTTAAGCCGAAATGAGGGAAAAATTACATAGCCATTCTAAGAGGCTAAATCGGCCCAACGTAAAGAGCCTAAGAGCCATATATAAGAGCCCAAGGGCCAACTTAAAGAGCCTAAGGACCGATATATAGAGCCTAAGGGCCAACTTCGAAATGCTTAAGGGCCAAAAATGTATTATATGAGACTCTGCTCTCACTCAACCCGGACTAAAGAGTCACGGTATCCCGAGCTTTAGTCGGATCGATTTAAACTTAGCTCAATGATTACTATTTCTATCAACAAAGACTTAAGGGTTTACTATATCCCAAGCCCAAGCCCATTTCAGGGCCAATCGTTCAAGTTATGCAAAAGAGGCATTCCTTAAATCAAAACAATATGAAATCTAGTACAAGTCGGAAATGAGAGGAAGAGTTCCTATTATATTTCCAAAAGACGATTACAGGGGATGTTTTCACAAGGGATACCTACACAAAAATAAAACAAGGATCCTTTTATACTTCCAAGAAATGTTTACAAAGTAAAGCTACGGCACCCACGAAGGATACTTACACAGGAACAAAGAAGCAAAAAACAAAAGCCAAAAAACTCACTTCTAAAAGTGATTTGAACCATGGAAATAGGTGATTAGAGGAAGAGGTAGAGAAGGGAAAGGACTAAAAGTAGATGAGGAAGGAATAAGTGTAGTTTTTGTTCAGCCAAGTAACCTCTAATTTATAGAAAGCCGACGACGGGACCGACGGTGCAAGTGGCCGACAAAGGCTGAAACGTATTTGACGTTTTGGAGAAGCACACTAACATGACATTTTCGATCACTTCAAGCGCCTATATCACGGGCATGACGTCATCACGAGTGATTCGGGAAAATCGAGGTTCAAATCGTTTCTTATCATCTTATTCTAAGAAATGCGGGGACTATCTGTATACGGTAAAAATCGGAGAGCTCGATTTCTAAGACTGGATTACACTCCGAGTCCGAGTTTTGGAAGCTCGAAGTAAGAATCAAGCTAGCCCCAGATGAGTGCACCTCGAGAAGCAAATCGGGGACCCGTCATGATCTGCCTCGAGGGCAGTACAATTTCGAGGGCACTCAAGAAAGAGCGGGAATTTCTCAAGGACATGTGGGTCAGGGCATAAATTATAGGATAAGATTTGTACGAAATAGTACAAGTCCGTACTAGGTTGTTATACAGCTGTACCATAGAATTCTTTATCATAATTGGAAATGTACCATATTAGAGTTTTCCCCTCCTATATAAAGGGGACCCCAATCATTTGTAAGGATGATCTCATTCACTGCAATAGAACATTTTACTCTGCCTTTCTTGTTTACCGTGCTTAACAATTGTTTTTCAGCTTTATTGTCTTTACTTTATTCTTCATACTTTATTGCTCTTAGCTCACCTCGAGGCCCGCAAGATAATCAAGCTCGAGGTCCTTATTGCTCTAACAATACTGGTTTGGTTCATCAATTCTTCTTACTTAAACCTAATATTACTTGTATATCCACTAGTATTAGAATATATCACATATCTTTAAAACATAAATTATCTTTAGTTGTTACTCACATTTTTCGAGGTAAACATTTATACAAGAAATCATGTTGATAACTACATTGATTACATAACAGGCAATCTACGTAGATGGAAGAAAATCTTCAGTAAAGAAAATCAAACATGATCATTGACAAATATAATAGCATTTGCATCTCACGTTCAACACGACCAATTCATTAATTTTCTTCCAATTTTTATCAAAAAGCAGAATTATTAGTTACCATTATAATGGAAAATTATTAGAGCATGGAGCACGCCATTGAGATATCTTCTCCAAATTTGAAGCATATTTGAACCAACTCTAGATGAGAAAATCAATATACACATGATGAAGAAAAGAAAGAAAACTTATAATTGAATTTTAAAAAAATTCTAACACATAATTGGTATTCAAGAAATAGAGTTATTTTTTTCTTTCTAAAACAAAGAAAAAAAAAAGACAATCCAATGCACGAAGTATTCTGCATTCAACAAGGTTCCGGAATTGATCGTACCTCAATACTATATTGTAAGCAGCATACTGTACGACAAAGATTAGTGATTAATTTCACGACTCAAACGCGTGACCTATTATGAGTTCTTCTAAAAAGCAAAAGGTAATGTAAAATACAAGTTAATAACGGTAAAATTGAAGTGGTGAAGGAGATTGGTGATTGGGAAGAAACGTGGGAAGAAGCGCGTACGTAGGGGAAGAAATGATTTGGTATAAATAATTGCATTAAATTTAATGAGTTTACGATGAGAGGGACAATCACCATCAAGTCCATGACTAGGACAATAAAAATAATAGAGTCCATTTCACAAAAATGAGAGCTAGCTAGGAAAAAGCAAAGAGAGTACAGGACATAAAATCCACACACACACATATATATATATAGATAAATCAAATGAATCTCTTAATAAATATAAATACAATCTGATCTAGGCATCCAGCGATGCAATATAGTTATATTACTAGATTTGACAGCTTAAAAACCCCTTTTGGAGATCTTTTCTCTCTGTAGATACCATTCCATTCTACACCAAAGGAGCTTCTTCATCTCAAACCATCAACTAATTAAATCAAACCTTTGACAGCAATTTCTTGTTCAAGAGATGGGAAGTGGTTATTTTGGGGAGCCAAACCTAGGGAATGAAAAATCATATTCATCATCATCAAGAAAGAGTAAAAAGACCAATTCAGAAAAACCTAAACAGCCACAAAGAGGTCTTGGTGTTGCTCAATTGGAGAAGATTAGATTGCATACACAAATGGCTTGCACTTATAACCCTTTTGCCACCAATCTCAACCAGGTTTACCTCTACTAAATCTCGATTCTAAAAAAGTTAGGGTCAGCTATATATGAATCTTCACTATCCATGGCTCGTTTATGTTTTTCTTGATCCTGATTGGGTTGTTTAATTTCTTTCTCAACAGGAGGATATGAGACTACAAACACCATATTCATCAATTTCTTATTCATCATCCTCATCCTCATCTTATGGTTTTCCAGCCCACCAAACCATTATGGTACAGCTTCTTCCCTTAAATATTCAGTGAATTGTGATCTTACACTTTCTTTAGAATTCCAATATTATTGGAAAGCATGATACATATTTATATACATAGAAAAACACATAGGTTTTGGGTTCACATGGTCATATATCCCTACTATACGTACGCTATCTTGAATCAAATCCTTTTTGTGTGGAGATCTAGATCATTTCGACTTGGTTTTCTTCCTCTCTTTTTTTCGGAGAAAATTATATATTTTCCATGTGTTACCTTGTTGATAAAAGTCATTTTAATTCATCAAATAATGATGTTGTCTATTAATTACTAGATACACACATTATCTTTAGAATATTCTTCATATTTGAATATCATCCCTTCCCTTCCAAAGATGAAACATCAGGTGATGATACATATGTTGTACGTCGCGTCCTTTCTTTTCTTTTTTTGCTGAAAACCTTTCGGATCATTTCTTTGCACGCCAGTGCCGGCAAAATGATTTCTTGTTTTCTCCCAAATTGACGATGAAAGTGGATAAATTAACTAACATTGAGGTCTAATATATAGTTCGATGAATTGGATTCTAATTTTAAATATAAAGTTGATACATGTGCTGATATATTTTTGTGTTATTTTGGGAATATGTGTGCCCTTACAAGATTTTCTCCCTCATTTGTTTTTCTGGGCTAATTTGTTTTTACGAGATTCCTTTTCACACTCATTGTAAATAACGAGGTGTATCAAATCTTGCTGTGATTTCAGATGGGATTGGGTGACATTGAAAGAGCTAATATTAGATATGGAGATTCCCAGCCACCTTCTACTGCTAGGTATTTTATGTGAATTTGCTGTTCGGATAATTTTTGCCAAAAGATTTGTACAAAAGAACAAAGAGTTTTCCGACACTTGTAACTTTTTCCAGCTTTGTGAATGTTTTATATATTGAAGGCTTATCATTGAAAACATGCTCAAGCATTCTTCATTAAATTTTTTTTTTTGAGAAAACTTACACAAAAATATTTTTCAAAACTCATTTTTCAAGAATTTTAGAATTACTTTCAAGAAAAAAAAAATTAATATTTCATTACGAAAGATTTCAGTGAACAACATAAATGGTTCTACCTCAAACATTTCCATAAATGTTAGTGCACTTTGGCTAATGTTTTTTCTTTTGACATTTGGCATCAATTCAGTACATGGCATCCTGGTACAGTTTATGAGACTCAGCATTATGCTCAGCCAAACATGACTAGATGTCTGCTTAACCTACAAGTAGAGGTAATTTGTTACATTCCTCAACAAACTAATAACGTCTATTGGAATTTGCAACTTCTTATATCATAATTGATTGATTCAAAATTTTGGGGCAATAAACTACAGGACTCGCTAGAGAAGAGGAGAAAGAAGGACAGAAGTGAATCAATTGGCTCAAGTAGTCAGAATTCTGAATTAAATGGCAGCCAAGAATTAGATTTGGAGCTGAGGCTTTCACTTTGATCGCATAAAGTTCTTCGTCAACCCAGTGTATCTATTCGCGATTTATTATTAGCTTATGGAGTAACTTTCAAGATTAGAGCACCATTTTGCCTTGGCCTTTGCATAGATGCACAAGTTTAAGCAATTAATGGAAATTTGTTAGTCTCTTCTGGAAAAATTGAAGGGAGTTGACTTTTCGTCACACAATGACAAAACATCCTACGCGGAAGTTTCCTCCCATAAGGTTAAGCAAGATACTTACCCAAAACAAACTAAATCAGTCCACTAACGAGCCCTTCACACGCAGTTCAAACCGTGGATGGCTCGAATCTAGCCAAAATAACTTAATTATCATAAATAAAAGCCATAAGAAATAATTCCGAATAATAAAGATTAGATCTTTAAGGAAAATAAAAAAGTCAACTCAAAAAGTTAACCCTGGGCCCGCACATCGAAACTTGACCAAACTTAAAAATTCCGAACACTTATTCCGATACGAGTCTAACCATACCAAAACCATCCAATTTCAACCTCAAATCGGCCCTCAAATCAAAATTTTATGTTTTAGAAAGTTTTTACCAAAATCCCCAGTTTCTTCAATTCAAATCCCTAATCAAACACTAAAATCGAGGTTGACATCATGAAGTGATAACAAATCCGGTTCAAAATTATTTACTCCAATCCAAATCGTGAAAAACTATTCCAAAATCTCCCAAAACCGAGCTCTCTAACTTAAAGTGTGATAAATTAGTGAAATAAAACCCTCGACCAAGATATATTATGCCTAGGCATTTCGCTTTTGTGACTCCACATCTGCAGAAAATGCATTGCAGATGCGGCCTCCACTTAAGACCAGGAATTTTGCTTCTGCAGACCAAAGAGCGCACGTGCGCTTCCGCGTCTGCGGACAAGGCACCGCACATACGGTCCATGCTCAAACAACCCGAATCTACTTCTGCGGAGTTTTTCCCCTTATGCGGCTGCGCATCTATGCTTCCATTTCCGCACCTACAGACCCAACTCCTCTAGCAAAACCTCGCATCTGTGGCCAACCAGCCGCTTCTGCGGCGCCGCACATACGACCCAAACATCTCAAGTGCGAAAGCACCAGTTCTCAGCAGACATCAACAATCATCTAAGTCCCCAAATCATCTGAACTCAACCCAAAACACATCCGAGGCCTCTGGGATCCCGTCCAAACATACCAACTAATCACAAAACATGACACGAAACTACTTGAAGCCACAAATCACATCGAACAACATCAAAAATATGAATCGTGCCTCAATTCAAGCCCAATGAACTAATAAACATTCCCAAATTCAAAACATGCACCGAACATGCCTAAACAACTCCGAACGACCTCAAATTTCGCATGTAAGTTCCGAATTACACGATGGATCTATAAAAACTCCCGAAATCATAATTTGAGCCTGATGTGATGACCCGACCCGTCGTCTCATGTGTTACTGCTCCGTTTTCCCCGTTTATTGCTTCTTCACGTTTCGTTACCGGTATGTGGTGTGTGAGAGTTGATTTGGATTGGTTTTGATAAGAAATGAGACACTTAGTCTCTTTAAGGAAGGCTTAAGTTGGAAAAGTCAACCGGACGTGACTTATGAGTTAGAAGGTTCGGATGTGATTTCCGGTGATTCGATTAGCTTCGGGGGATGATTTGTGACTTAGGAGCGTGGTCGGAATTGATTTTGGAGGTCCGGTGTAGAATTAGGCTTGAATTGGCGAAGTTAGTATTTTGGCGAACTCTGGTTGATAGGTGAGATTTTGATCCGAGGGTCGGAATGGAATTCCGAGAGTTGTTGTAGCTTCGTTAGGTGATTTTGGATATGTGCGTAAAATTTCAGGTCATTCGGACATCGTTTGGTCGGATTTTTGATCGAAAGTGCATTTCAGAAGTTTTTGAAGAACTTAGGCTTGAATTCGATGAGATTTGATGGTTTTAGCGTTGTTTGATGTGTTTTGATGATTGGAACAAGTTTGAGTGATGTTATGGGATAAGTTGGTGCTTTTGGTTGAGGTCCCGGGGGCCTCGGGGTGATTTCGGGTGGTCAATCAGACCATTTCTGGTCTTAAAGTATTGCAGGTTTTCAGCTGTGTTGTTGCAGAAGTGTTGTTCACCGCGTTCGCGTGGGGTGTGTCGCGAACGCGTAGAGTAAATTTGAGAGGCCTGGAAAATGGCCTTCGCGTTCGCAGCCTTAGGAGCGCGTTCGCGATGAGGAGTTGTGCAGACCATCGCGTTCGCGAGAGCTGCTTCGCGTTCGCGTAGAAGGAGCTTGGGGCCCTGCCTGGTTGGTGCATCGCGTTCGCGGTTGGTCGAACGCGTTCGTGTAAGAGGGTGAGCTGGAGCATCGCATTCGCGGACCTGGAGTCGCGTCCGCGTAGAGGTAATTCGTGGTCAACGGAATTTGTTCATTGCGAACGCGAGGGTGTTGACCGCGTTTGCGTAAGGTAAAACCTGCGCGTCCAGAGGACTTTTTATATTATTTCATCCGCGACCCCATTCATTATTTCCTCCATTGTTGACCACCTTAAGAGCTTTTTGGTAGAAATTGAAGAGGATTTTGACGGGAATTGATTAGAGGTAAGTCTCGTGACCTAGAGACGTCATTTTATTGAAGAATCAACCTTTTATTCATGGAAATTGGAGTAAAAATTGGAAGAGCTAGGGCTTGAGTTTTTATATTTTCAAATTGGGATTTGGTAGGTCATTTCAGCTCGGATTTGGGAGTTCTTGCTATTTTCGAGATTCTTGCTAATTTTCGATTGTTTTCGATTGGGTATTATTCCCTTAGCATATTGTGACGTATTCGCTCTGATTTTGGTTAGATTCGACGCGCGTGGAGGCCGATTTGAGGGGCAAAGGCGTCGCGAGCTAGGGATTTCGCCGGTTCGAGGTGAGTAATACTTGTAAATGATATCCTGAGGGTTTGAAACCCCGGATTTGCACATCATAGTGCTGTATTGTGGTGACTTGCACGCCAGGTATGAGCGTGGGGTAGAGCACCGTTGGGGATTTTGACTTAGTCCGTCCCGGTTGTTGGTTTTATTGCGTAATTGACTGAAACTACTTGTTATCATCATTATTTGGGTTGATTGCTATATTTGGGCTTCGTGCCAATTGTTTGAATCCTTCAGGGATCGATATCACTATTTTTACATTACTTTGCATATTATTTTATCACAGTCCAAGATTTAAAATACTGTTTCGCAAACTTAGCTATCTTTCTAAGATTTGAAAACCTAAATGATATTTTACTGACGTTTTGAGTTGAGACTGTTATTTCACTATTGCCCAAGGGGCTTATGTGCATTTCCGGGCTGAGGATGGATCGGGCTGCGCGCCGCAGCGGTGTGATATTGACATTGCGCTTGTGCTGTAGGAGCCCCTTCGGAGTCTGAACCCCCACAGTGAGCGCGGGTACCCAAATGGATCGGGCTGCGCGCCGCAGCGGTCATATGCATTGCATTGCATTCATGCATTGGTTCCTGTTTGTACTACGTGTCATGACATTTAGCACTCTCATATCATTGGCATCCATGCTATTGCTTGTACTGTTTACCAGACGCCCTGGTGTTAACTGTTTGTGGAGTGCTGTGCCCGAGGGGGCTGACTTATGTGCGGACTTGCACTATCTGATTACGCGTTCATTTGCTTGACTGTTGGAAAAGGATGTTTTCAAAAGAGGTTTTAAACTGAGCCAGATATTTTCTAAAGGATTTTTCACGATTTTTACTATTTTCTCAAAGAGTGGTACTGTCCTATATAGCACGATGGAGTGCTCTTACGTGATTTCTTGCCTCTCAGTTATTATTTACACTTATTACTTACTGAGTTGGAAGTACTCACTTTACTCCCTGCATCTCGCATGCAGTTGTAGGTATTGTTCACCCGGTAGCGGGTTATTAGCTGATTGAATGTATGGCTATTGTAGCTGAGTAAGGTGACCGCCAGCGTTCCCGGCACCGGATGTTGTCTTTTGATTTCCAGGATTTTTCCTTATATATTATTATTGGCCTTGTAGTTGTTTTCAGGTTTCTTTAGATGCTCGTGACTTGTGACACTCCGGTCGGGTTGTGTTGGGTTGTACATACTGGTTATTATTGTCGTCAAGCTATATTTATCTATACATTTATGTTTAATAATTGTTAAAGAAACGGATTGGGTTAGTTGGCTGGCCTTGTCTTCACGAGAGGCGCCTTCACGACCGGGGTATGGAAATTGGGTCGTGACAAGTTGATATCAGAGCCTAGGTTACTCGGTCTCACGAGTCATGAGGAGGTTTAGTAGAGTCTCGCGGATCGGTACGGAGACGTCTGTATTTGTCCTCGAGAGGCTGCAGAACCTTTAGGAAAACTTCCCATCCTTGGAATTCTTATCGTGCGTACTTGATTCAGCTTGAGATATAACTCTTGAAATTCCTTCCACACGTCTGTATGCGCACGTGAGCGCTCAGTATTATATGTGCCTTGATGGTTTGTGATTCCCCGATCGAGGGGCGAGATGTGATCTTCGTGAGTATGTTTGGCCAGTCTGGAGGACTTGAGGCCGGATCCTTGCCTATGGCTTGAGCATCGAGGTGCTGATTGTGTGAGCAAGTGTTTTGAACTTATATGTTCAGTATTGCCCCTATTAGCCGGAATGGCGGTTTGGTATTCATGTGATGAGTATGTTAGTACTGCGAGATGTAATTATATGACTTGGTAGTGACGAAGAAGTCTGCAGGATAATAGATGAACTGTTAAGTGATTCGACTCCTATTGTGGATTGATGTGTATCCCGAATTATGGGCGCGTGAAGAACATTGTCGTACCTCCTAGTTGGGAAGTGAAGTGCATTGCATGCGGCGGTATGAGTTCGGACTCAGGAAGACTAATGACTGAGTAACGTATATGATGGTGAAAGGTATGCTGAAGTACTAAATTGAGGCGAAACAGGGGTCATCTCCTGTGGAGTGTTCTTAAGTGGCATGGTCCCTATGTGTATGCTAGAAAGATCTCATGTGTAATTGAAGAGTACGTGTTGAAATTTGATAAATTCGGGTCGCTCAAGGGAGTGGACTCAACTGGTATGGGGATGAATGCGAGATTTGTAGAGGATTTCAGTGCTAGATGATCTGTGCTTTCACAAAACTTATAGATGATTTGAGTTTAATCTCGCTA